CCACCAGCCACTCCTCAGAAGGAAGACTGGGCAATCTACTTCCGTAGAGATACCGCCTCGGAAACCCAAGGAGGGGTTGCTATGAGTCACAATTGACTTGATGGTGGTGTATTTGGTTGGTTTTTGGTTGGTGTCTCTTTAGAAAGAGCTGGCAGTCTGACCCCATAAAGACTGACAGCCTAGCGGAGCCATGGAGCACTTTTCCTCTGACCTGTAGGGTTCCTGACGACACCCCACGACAACAACAACACAAAGTCAGATGGAAATAGTCAGATTCCAGAAAGCTTGTGCCCCGTGTGTTCCATGTGGCGGGACCTCAGCGGAAGTAGAGGACGGTGCTCTACTTGAGAAAATTTCAGACGTCTGCCTAGATTTGCACACTGCCCCTGAACAAACCAGCGCCGTGGGGTTGACCTTGACTCTGTGACCCCACGTGTGTCACAGTGGGACTGGGCTCCCTAGGGTCTTCGGTGGCTGACCTTTCAAAGGTAGGTGGCCAGGCCTCTCTCCTGAGGCTCCTGCAGGGACATTCAAACTTCCAGCCTCCGGGGTAGCAGCCCATCACGGCAGCTGGAAGGAGGGTCGTTCACACCTTGCTGGCAGCAGTGATGAGGAGGCAGATCGGGCAGTTTCTTAAAAACTCAACAGGCTCCGACCGTGCAGCACAGCCACCGCATTCCTGGGCGTTCATCCCAGACGGGTGAAGCTTGTTGTCACACAGAAACCCGCGCGGAACGTTGGCAGCAGCTTAATTCGTGGTGCTGCACGTAGAGTGACCGTGGAGACAGCCCGGGGCTGGGCAGTGGCGTGTTGTGTGATTCTAAGGTCAACTCCACAGCAGCGACTAGATTTGTGACAGCCACTGTGTCCTTTAATGGCTGAATGGCTGAGCAAACAGGTGCATCCGTCCCAGGGAAAACGGAAACGATGTGGCTGCTGTGGTGTCGATTTCACCTCACGTGTGTCCGAGTGGCCCGTGCTCCTCCCTGGAGATTTCAGCGGCTGCTTTTTCACAAGCAGCTCCTCAGGCTTTCCTTTGCAGGCGCCTCTGGGGCGGCAAACCTCCAGCCTTGGGGTGCCCAGCAGAGCGCGGTGACCATCTGCGCCACGTGGGTACGCTGCGTCTTGTCATTGGACATTTGAGTTCTTCCTCAGCCCCCCAGCCCTGGTAATCACTAATAATTTTTGGTTTCTGTGTATTTGCTGGGAGCTCTGGTGGCCTAGTGCCTAAGGCATTTGACTACTAACCAGAAGGCTGGCGGTTCAAACCCACCAGCCACTCCTCGGAAGGAAGTTGGGAAATCTAGTTCCATAGGGATACCGCCTCGGAAACCCAAGGAGGGGTCGCTGTGAGTCAAATCGACTTGCTAGAGGAGCCCTAGTGGTGCACTGCTTAAGCTCTTGACTGCTCACCCAAAGCCGGGCAGTTCGAACCCACCAGCTGCTCCATGGGAGAGGGATGAGGCAGTCGGCTTTGGTGAAGATCCATGGCCTTCAGGTCAGTGTTGCTCCGTCCGGTATGGTCGCCATGAGTGGGACACTGGTCAGCAGTCAACGGAAATGAACTGTGTACACACAGCCCCCGGGAGGAGCGTCCAGGAAGTGATGGTGCGCGAGGAACGCCCCTCCAAAAGGCTGCATGTGGAAGGACTCCGTTTGTGTGCAGTCTGCTTGTACGTCACTTTGGAAGTGACAAGTGGTGGTGCCCGGCACCACTGCCAGCTGTGTTGAAAAGAGGGGTCACTATGGAAGATCCCAGATAGACTGGGGGGAAACTGTGGGACAAAACTCAAAATCGTAGAAAGAAAAGACCAGGCTGTCTTATCTGATAGGGACTGTGGAACCCCCGAGACCATGGGCCTTAGCCGCCCTTCATCTGGGGTGCTGAGCTCACCTCCAAGGCTCACCTTTCAGCCAGATGGTAGTCAGGCCTATAAAATGAACAGCCAGGGAGGTACGCACTTCTTAGAACAGTCAGCCTCCAAGTTCCAAAGGGCAGCAGGTACCTGGGTGTAAAGCTGAGAAGGTGGGAAGGGACAGGAAAGAAGGCCAAAGGGAAGTGGCGACCCAGGGAGGAGGTGGCAGGGTGCCGTCACAGGGTGGGGACGGAGCCAGGGCCACTAATCCAAGTGCGGCTGAATTGTTGAAGGGAAAACCAATTTGCTCTGCAAGTTTTCACCCAAATCACAATCAAAAGTTAAAAAAAAAAAAGAGGAAGAAATGACAAAATCATAGAAATGGAGGTGAGATGGGTCGCCAGGGGTTGAGGAGAGGCCTGGGCATTGGGGGAAGTGGATGTGGCTGTAAAGGGCAGCAGGAGGGCCCCTTGTGGGGACGGGCCATTCCGCTTAGCCAGGCCCGTGTCACTCTCCTGGTCGTGATGTTTGATCACCCTGGCAGAGAACTGGGTGAGCGGAGCAAGGGAGCTCTGTGTCATTTATTGTTATTAAGATAAAGACTCCCCTCCCGTGACATCCACCCGTTTACAGTGTGCAGCTCGGAGGTTTGTAGTGTATTCCCGAAGGTCTGCGCCTGTCTCCACCGTGCTGCCAGGACACCATCATCGCCTCCCGAAAGGCCCATTCGGAAAACTTGCTGAGCGAAGTAAGTCATGGCAACGTGGCATACTGCATGTCCTCACTTATGTGAAGTAAACAGATACATAAACCTGTTGCCACTGAGTTGATTCAACTCATAGCGGCCGTGCAGGACGGAGCATAACTGCCCTGCAGGCTTTGCAAGGCCTTAGATCCGTACCGAAGCCAATTGCACATCCTTCTCCCATGGAATAGCTGGGGGTTTGAACTATCAGCCTTTTGGTTAGCGGTTGAGAGCTTAACCAGTGCACCACTAGGGCTCCTCTAGCAAATACATGTGTTGTTATGTGCCGTCCAGTCGGACCCGACTTACAGCCACCCCTCCTTGGCTTTCCAAGGCAGTATCACTACGGAAGTAGATTGCCCCATCTTCCTTCCGAGGAGTGGCGGGTGGGTTTGCACCGCCAGCCTTCTGGTGAGCAGTCAAGTGCCTTAGGCACTGTGCTACCAGAGCTCCTAGCAAATACATAGCAACCAAAAATTATTAGTGTTACCAGGTTTGGGAGGGAGGGGGAAGAAGTTTTTAACTAGGGTTTATTGAGTTTATGCTGACGGTGGTGGAATGCTGTAGAAAGAGAGTATAACCATTCCTGCCTCTTGACAGAGTTAATCCAAGTCACTGAATTATCCATGCAGAAGTTGGTGGGGGTGGAGAAGAACCCATTTGCAGTCATCCTCTGGTCCCCTCGCCCGGCCCCTGGTGACCGCTGATCTGCTGTCATGGATTTGCCTATTCCAACATTTCGTGTAGATGGAATCACACGGTGCTGTGTGTCTGACTTCATGTTGTGGCATGTATCAGGACAGGACTTCTTAATGGCCGTAGGCTCTTCCACGTGGGGGTATATATACTGCATCCTGTTGCTGGGCATTTGAGTTGTTTCCGCTTTCTGGATTACGAGTACTCTGCTGTGCCCCGTCCCCTGCAGGTTTTGTGTGGACTTGGGCTTTGTTTTCTCAGGCACGAACCTGGGACCAGAATTGCTGAATGCAGCAGTAACCGTGTAACTTCTTGAAGACCTGCACAGGTTCCCACAGTGGTCGCGCCACCAGCCTCTGTGAATTCTGATCCAAAATCCACTGCTGCTCGCCTGGTTTTCCCTCTGGCAATGTGCTGTCTGCCTCACTGCGCCTAAAAATTTGTCTCTGTCTCTCGCTTTCCAGTTTGACCGTGGCAGGTCTTGGTGTGGAATTCTTTGGGCTTATCCTAGTTGAGGTCTGCTCAGATGTTGGGTCTGTTGGTGCGTGTCTTTGCCTCGTGTGGGAGGTTTCCAGCTTTTCTGTTTCCTTGGTAACTGTTTGGCCTCATCCTCTTGTGTACCTCTGGGGTTCCAGAGACACATAGGCACCTATGTTCCTTCTTTCTTTGTAGCCCCACAAGGTCACAACAGTGTTTATTTTTCTGTTTTTCAGATGGACTAATTGTTTTGTTTAGTCTGTTTTTTTCTCTGTTGTTCAGATTGGGTGAGGGCTTTCTCTGTTTGTTTTTTGTCTCTTTTCTCGGGTGTTCCCGTCGGGTGAGTGTTCTGCGTCTGGTCTCCTTTCCCGGGTGTTCCCGTTGGGCTGCGTGTGCTACCTTCCAGGTCACTGATCCTGGCTCCGCCCCCTGTGGGCCACACAGACTGTGTTCTGCATCTGGTCTCCTTTCCCGGGTGTTCCCATCGGATGGGTGTCACTGATCCTGGCTCCGTCCCCCTGTGGGCCACACAGACTGTGTTCTGCTTCGGCTGCTGTATTCTCAGGCCCACAATTTCCATCTGGTCCCTTTGTTCGTTTGCTGCTTTGTCGCTGAGCTCCCCTGTTTTTGCGTTGTTTCAGGCATGTTCTAACTGCTTGTTGAAGCATCCTGGCTGCGTCTGCTCTAGAGCTGGTTCCCCGTTGTCCTGGCTCAGGTGTCACCCCGCCTTTGACCTTCTTCTGTGCCACCGTGATCCCTGCCCTTTTCCAAAACATTCCACCACCATTAGCATAAACTCAGTGCCCCCCAAACAAAACCCTGCCTCTTCCCTCTCCCTCCTGCCCCTGCTGTGGTGGTAGGTGCCGTGGAGTCCTCTCCGGGTCTGCGATGAGCGGTTTTCAGTTCTGAGCCGGGTATTTTTGTGTTATCTCAGAGACTGTGGGTATTACGGGAAATTTCTGATCTCGTTGGTGTGCCTGGTGCCTCTACAGCAGGAAGGGGGGCTCTGTCTGCTTAGTGCCAGGGGAGGTAGTTCTCCCACTGGGCTCCTGTTGATGCCCGTGGAGGGGTGCCTCTGGGGAGTTGTAAGTCCCGTCTCCCCGTGTCTCCACTTTCACCATAGGGATGTGGGGTTGCTTGCCTGCCTGAGAGGATGGCAGCCTGGCGCCCTACCAGTGTTGGCACCTCGCCGTAACCGCCCGAGGGTACAAGTCTCGGCTCCCCACTCAGTCTTTGCTGACTTGCGACGGTGGGGCCTGTGTTTGTTCTGTGACGTTTGACTGGAGTAGAGCATTTGTTGTCTAGAAGTTCTCTGTCTTGCTGGGCTGCCCCGTTTCTGGTCCTGAAGCCAGAGACAGTGGCCTTTGGCTGGGGTTGTTCATGTCTGTGCTTACCAGTGGTTCCAAGTTCCCAGCTTCAGCCGCACGTCTGCTGCATGCGAGACAGAGTGAACCTCCAGGGAGCTCACCACCTTGCCCCCTGGGTCCCAAGGTCCCCGGCCTCTTCTCACCCTTCGTCCAGGGTCTTCTTTGGTTCTTTCCATGGATGACATCCATGGTTATCACTCAGTGGGAAGAAAAGGCAAGACTCTGTCTACCCCGTCTCCGCAGCCCTGTTTGTTTCCATCCATCTTTTCTCTCTGTGTTCAGACTGGATGGTTCTCATTGACCCGTTTCCACCTTCTCCGACTCTCTCCTCTGGCATCTTTACTCTGCTCCTGAGCCCAGATACTGGGCAGTTCTGAGTTTCCCCTTTGGTTCCTTTCAATGGTTTTATGTCTCTCCTGAGAACTTGTAACGTTCCCCTTATTTCAAGAGTATTAGCCTTACCTTGTGGAGCATGGCTATCCTAGCTTCTGGAAGTCCTTATCTGATAATTACAACATCTGGGTCACTTCAGGGGTGGTGCGTGTTGGTTATCTTTGCCTTTGAAGGTCGGCCTGTTCTGGCTCTTGGTATGTTAATTGATTTTAGATTATATGCTGGACGTTTTGACTATTACGACGTGAGACTCTGAGTCCTGTGCAGAACCTTTGATGACTGACCCGAGTGGGCGAGTCCGTCTCACCTTCTGTGGGAGGCGGTTCCCGGGGCGGCCTGTTTTCCAGGCCTTGGCTATGCTGTTTGGGTGTGCCCCTCACATTCATCACTACGTTAGGCTGGGACATGGGACCTGGTACATATGGTAGTTAAAATGGAGCCCTGGTGGTAAAATGGTTAAGCACTTGGCTGCCAGCCAGAAGGTCAGCAGTGTGAAGCCACCGGCCAGTCTGCAGTAGGAATGACCTAGTGGTCCCCCACAAAGATTCAACCGACCAAACCCACTGCCATCGAGTGGATTCCAGCTCATAGCAGCCCTTTAGGACAGAGTGGAACTGCCCCACAGGGTTCCCAGGGCTGCCTCACCTCTCTCCCACAGAGCGGCTGGTGGGTTTGAGCCACCGACCTTTTGGTTAGCAGCCAAATGTTTTGGCTCCTTGCAGCCTAGAAACCCTGTGGGACAGTTCTGCACGGTCCCATGGGGTCCCCATGAGTCGTAACGGACTCCCAGGCACCTAACAGCAGCAGCAGCAACGTGGTAGGTAAGGCCCCAAGGCCTTTTGCACGCTGCTGCTTTTCCTTCCTTTCTTTCTTTAATTGTAGTTGAAATAGACGTACCACAGCGTTTGGCAATACAACGGCTTCCACATTTACAACTCGGTGAAGTGGATTATGGCTTTCAAGTTCTGCTCTCCTTGGCCCTGTCCTTTACCATTACCGTGAATTCAGTTCCCACCAAGAAAACACCCCCTTTCCCTCTCGCTCCTGCCCTGTGGTTGTTGTTAGGAGCTGGGGAGTCGGCTGGGACCCATAGTGACCTGTGTACAGCACAAGGAGACACTGCCTGGTCCTGCACCGTCCTCACGGTCATTGCCATGTTCACGTCCACTGTTGTACCCGCTGTGTTGGTCCATCTGGTTGAGGGTCTTCCCTTTTTCACTGACCCTTTCCTTCACCAGGCATGATGTCCTTCTCCAGGGACCCTTCTGACAACATGTCCAAAGTAGGTGAGACACATCCATCGTCCTCACTTCCAAGGAGCATTCCCGCTGGTGACCATCATTCATCTTTGGCTTCTGTATATTTGCTTGTTTCCTGTGTTGTTGTTGTCGTTGTTAGCTGCTGTCGAGTCATCCCCAACTCACAGCGACCCCACACCCAACAGAACGAACCACTGCCCAGTCCTATGCCAGCCTCACGATCCTTGCTACACCTGAGCCCATC